TTTTTTAAATTGTTATTCTCTGCTGGATTTTAGCCTCTGCAGCGCGTGGAGAGGGATCCTATCGATGAAGGTGCCGGATTGTTCTTTGAAGGGACGCTGCTAGTCTCTGGCTGCAGTTACAGGGGGACGGGGAGCGGAGCTTAGGGAGCAGCTCGGGTTGCACCGGGGCGCCGTGGGGAGCCGCGACCCCGCAAGCGCGGACGGGAGAGCTCAGCTTTGAGCCTGGCGCGATGGACTTGGTGCTGGCCCGCCAGATGCTCACGGAGAGCAAGGAAGCGAGAGTGATTTAAGTTTTCTTGGATTTTCTTGTGTTAGCTTTGCTTTTCGGGCGCGGAGGGGAGGAGGGCGCGGAACGGCTCCCGACGGGCCCCTCCTCACTTGAGCCCCGCTCCGGGRCCGTGTGCCGGTGCCTGGGGACGAGGGCGGCGAGCGAGGCGAGAGCACAGGCGCTGGGGTTTGCATGCCCGCACCCGGGGCTCCGTGTGCCCCCCACTCGTGATCGCGCTTGAAGGCGCCGGGAGTTTCCCCGCGGGTGCGGCTCGGGGGCTCCCCCGCCCCGCGTCGCTTTGGGGGAGGCCGGGGAGGGGGGGCCGCTCTCTCGGGGCGGGCTCGCCGGGATGGAGCTGCGCTCGGAGCTGCCCAGCGTGCCCTCCGCGCCCCCCCCGGTGCCCCCCAGCTCCGTGGCGGCCGCGGCGGCGGCGGCGGCGGCCACGCTGCCGGTGAGCGTGGCCGGGAGTTTGCTGCGGGCGCCGCCGCTGCTGCTGCGGGCGGCCGAGAAGTACCCGCGGACGCCCAAGTGCGCCCGTTGCCGCAACCACGGGGTGGTGTCGGCGCTGAAGGGCCACAAGCGGTACTGCCGCTGGAAGGACTGCATGTGCGCCAAGTGCACCCTCATCGCCGAGCGCCAGCGCGTCATGGCCGCGCAGGTGGCGCTGCGCCGGCAGCAGGCGCAGGAGGAGAACGAGGCCCGAGAGCTGCAGCTGCTCTACGGCACGGCCGAGGGGCTGGCGCTGGCGGCCGCCAACGGCATCATCCCGCCCCGGCCCGCGTACGAGGTGTTCGGCTCCGTCTGCGCCGGGGGCGGCGGCGAGGGAGGCGCCGGCGCCTCAGGTAAGGCCGCGCTGCGCGCCGTCGGGGCGGTGGGGATGGAGGGAAGGGGCGCGGAGAGGCGGCGGGAGAAGAGCGGGGCGCGGAGCTGCGGGCGGGTGGTCCCGCCGACGGCCGGGGCGCTCCGCGGGGCCCGTCGGGGGCAGCCGCACTGACGGGTCTCTCTTCCTTCTGCTCTCCCCGACCCGCAGAGTCCAAGATGCAGAAGTTCGAGCTGTTCCCCAAGACGCTGCTGCCGAGCCGCGCCGTCACCCCGCAGCAGGCGGGCGGGAAGCCTCTCTCCCCGGACGGCGAGTCCGTGCCCGGCACCTCCTCCCCAGATGCTCGCCACGGCTCGGGCTCGGAGAACGGGGACGGCGAGTCTTTCCTGAGCTCACCCGTCTCCAAGGGCCCGAAGGAGGGGGAGGAGAGCCCGGGCTCCATCAGCCCGCTGGGCTCGGACTCGGGCTCGGAGGCGGACAAGGACGAGCAGGACCCGTCGCCCTCGGCCGGCGGCCGGCAGCGGACTCCCATCGACATCCTGACGCGCGTCTTCCCGGCGCACAAGCGCAGCGTGCTGGAGCTGGTGCTGCAGGGCTGCGGCGGGGACGTGGTACAGGCCATCGAGCAGATCCTCAACAACCGCGGCCCGGAGAAGGGCCCCGAGGAGGGCTGGGCCCGGGACGGCGCCTTGCAGGGCCTGCCGCCCACCCCCGCCGCCGCCGCCGCCGCCCACCACCGGCCCTTGATCGCGGGCGCCATGGCCCCGGCCATCGGCACGCTGGGCAGCCGCTCCGCCTTCTCCCCKCTGCAGCCCAACGCCACGCACTTCGGGGCCGAGGCCGGCGCTTACCCCCTGGGCACCCACCTGGGACTGAACCCCCTGCGCCTCGCCTACTCTGCGCACAGCCGGGGACTGGCYTTCATGACCCCCTACTCCACGGCCGGGCTAATGCCCACGCTGGGCTTCCGGCCGCCCGTGGACTACGCCTTCAGCGACCTGATGCGGGACCGCTCGGCCGTGCACAAGGAGCAGGTGTACTCCAGCGGGCTCTACGGGCCCATGGTCAAYAACACCCCCGAGAAGCAATAGCGGCTTCCTAAAGCTCGTCTGKGTAGAGGTAGCTAGGTAGGCACGGGTGGACGGACACGGGTGGTTTTCTCTCTCCCGGTTGCGTGCAGAGCCCGGCGCGGACAGAYGTGTTAAGGTGTATTAAGGTGGTAAAGGTGCACTTTCATTGTYCAGACATGAGTCGCTCTTTGTTGCTTATGGCCATAGGCATGGATATCCTCAGTGCGTCGTGGGGTGTGCACACACACGTACGCTCTTTCCCACACACATACATATATATATATATGTATACTAGCAAGTGTATAATGTTATAAAATGGAAATCTAAGTTATTAATGTAACTCGTAGGTGAACTTGGTATTAACGTTAAGCTAAAGTTAGACAGCGCATTGTAATACTACCAGGCATATAGATGAAACATTGTCAAATTGAAAACCTTTTCCTTCCCGCCCCATAACAGAAGTGTTATGGTCTGTATATAACATTGGAAAGTAGATATATTTGTAACTGTCCGTAGGACCCCGGCGCCGATGGTGTACGACGGTTTAATAAGCCTCCTTCATTTGTGATCTGCAAGAAAATTGCTTTCTTGTTCCGATGTAGCAAACTTCTTGCTGTTTCTAACAGGTAATTCTGTGTTTCCATTTCATAGAAATAAATGTTATTTTCTATTAAAAAAAAAAATCGGTCTTATGAATGGCAAGTGGTATTTTATGAGATCATGGAAGTGTGTTCTGGGAAATTCATTTGACAAGTACAGTTGATATTTAAAGTTTATGCAAATAGTACAAACATGTTTACTACATTTTTATCATGGTCAAACTAGATATTCTTCAGATAAATTTATAAATAAAAACGAAGCATACAAGCAAGAGCAATTTCCTTACCAGCTGAAATTGTCAAATATGTTTATTTCTGGTTCTGGTCATTTTCTTATTTACGCCTGGGGGGGAAACCTACAGAGGTATAAATTTAAGCAGGATTTCTCTCTTCACTATCTTGATKTTTTTTTGTCATATTTAGGAAATGTGGCATTGTTGCAAAGAGAAGCCTGGTTAAAGCAAATCCCACCTTGCCCACCGTGGGTTGTGTAGCAGCGGGAAGTACTTCCCCTTGTATCTGAAATTTGATGTTGCATTTTAGTTGTTTCTGTGTCAAATAAGTGAAGGGATCTATAATAATAATGACCTTTTCAGGATGTGTTTGCGGCAGACGTGGATGAGTTGAGATCAGTGCGGAGAGYGTGTGCAGGAAAGGTTTCTCTGTTTTTGGAGCTGTCCGTCCCTCACTCAGYGGAGAGTAAAGGCTATTCGCGTGGCTTTTTCTTTTTATTTTCTCTCTCTTTTTTTCTCCTTTTTTTGGGGCAACGGTGTCCAAATGTTCTCCAGGATCAAAAAGCAAGAAGGGCTTTGCTGCCTCTATTTATTTCTGTTTTGGGATGAGTGGGGGGCAGCGGGCGTGCCCCGTGCATCCCGAGAGGCGATCCTGCCGAAGGCCRGAGCGTGACTTTCTTGCCAGTCCTGGGAGTGTTTGGCCCAGGAAAACTATTACTCACAAAGAACAAGTTCAGTGCATGGTTGAATTAAGACTGTAAAAGGTCCTAAAGTTGGTTGGTATGGAAACCTAATCCCACCGAACCGCTCCGTGGCACAGCTGGACTGTTTACTTTCTCACTTCAAATATAACTGTGTAAACATTGGCTGGGAGCTGCCAGCGCGGCTCCTACCAACCAGTTAATATACTGGTGGGGCTGGGAGGAGTCCCACTGCAGCTATGGAAGGAAGCTCCTGGGTAAAATCAAATCACATCAAAATGCARTTCTTCCATCCTGCGTGTGATTCATCAACTTGGATACAATTTTAAGATTTTCTTAAAAAAAAAAAAAACCCAAACCAAAAACCCGACCCMAAAAAAAAGTAAGTAAATATTACAGATTACACCTAGGCAAATAGTTTTGACCCTGATCCATCCTGGGAGCAGCCAAATCAGTATCACAAGGGAAACTTTTTAAAGTCTCKTGTTTCCAAGAGCGGGTGAAACTTAATATTACTACAATAAAACSGTTTAATAAAGAAGGGCTTTAATAGTGAGCTAATTTGATTGAGTTTCCTAATTCCACTTTAATTGGAAAAGGAGTTGTCTGTTTGGTTATAAAGTGCTAGGGTTATGTTAGACTAGAAAAAAAAAAAGTGGACTTCGAGCATCTGAATAAACTTTTTTTCCCTTTTTCCCCCCTTTTTTTTTTGGTTGGCAGCTGACTTTGTGCAGGATGGGTTTCCATATCTAGGATTATGAACGGGCTACAAAGAGCTGCTACTTAAAGAAATCAGGTYGCCACATTTCTCCCATTCTAGCCCTGTTGAGAAGGGCTTAGGAGCTGTTGATTTAACTCAGCTCCCCTTTTAATTATAAAAGCCATTCTTGTGTAGTTAGGCGAGCAGGACAATTTATCAGAATTGTTGCCGTGTCTTGGAGGTTGGCTTGAGCTTGGATTTATACAACCCACAATGGGGATCACGACGATTAACTTTCATATGGGTAGTTTAGGCTGTTAAATTGGGGGGAGTAGGAGGAGRGAGGGGGGTAAGAGAATCTGATAAATTGTCCTACTGCAGTAATTCCCTGATAAATTGTCCTACTGAAGTAATTCCCTTAGATTAAAAAAAATGAAGAAAAAAATCCCTTGGGTTTGAAGCTGCTTCGGAGAGGTTCGTATACAGAAGCCTCTGGCAGGACATAAAATATTCAGGTCCCTTTTGGAGTAAAATAAAATGCTGTCACTTGAATAAAAATCGGCGGAACCGAGTATAAATTATTTGTGAAGCAGAGAGGCTGCGGGCGAGCGCTCGCAAACTTCCCTGTTAATTAAATCTTAATCCACGGGTCGCAGGAAGCGRCGGAGCTGTAACAGCGGCTGCTGTACACAGAGCGGGACACGTTCCGCACTTATATTAACTGCACTCGTGTTTAATATGAATCAGCCCTAATCCACAGCATAATAAAGATCAAATTAGACTAACCATTTAGTAGCGAAATGACATTCCTTCACCTAAAATGAACCTCCCCGCGCCCTGCTCGCTGCGAGGCTGCCTCGGCCGGGCTGGCGGCGCCGGGCCCCGGCTCTGGCTGAGCCCAGAGCGCTGAGCGAGGCCGGGGAGGGGAGCGGGGGTTTTTTTACAGGCTGGACAGTTTATTTCTGAGCCTGAGGAGGGAATCCCCRCTGCCCTCCCACGCTTTCCAGAGGCGCAAACCCGGCTGGCTGCCGAGGCCCTGGGGATGGAGGATGCTCGGAGCGGGGTCGTGTCGCTTCCCCGGCTCCGGTCCGGAGTGTCCCCCGTCCGCTGCCGGGGCAGGGGGSACACCCACGGCGGGGAAGAGTGCTGGTCCTGCTTCCACGCGTRCCCTGGGCAGCCGGGGCCGCTGCAGAGGGGACAGCGATGGCTCGATTTACTGCAGACCGAGGAGCGAGTCCCGACCCCCGCTCTGTCTTTCCCGCGGCCCCGGGAGCGCTGTGACACCACTACAGCGGCCGTCCCGGGACTCGCCGTCCCGTTTCCCAACCTGGAAACCGCCCCACAGCCTGGCTCTGCCCGGAGAGATGGGATGGGATCCATGGGATGGGATGGGATGGGATCCATGGGATGGGATGGGATGGGATCCATGGGATGGGATGGGACTGGCTTAGGATGGGATGGGATGGGATCCATGGGATGGGATGGGATGGGATCCATGGGATGGGATGGGATCCATGATGGGATGGGATGGGATGGGCCGGGCCGGTCCCGGGTGCCCCTCACCGGGCGGAGCGGCCTTTGTGCCGGTGCTGAGCAAACACAGCTGCCGCCGGTGGCACCGCTTGAGGGAACGCGGTTCTTACCGTCCCACCCCTCGTCCCCGCTCCCGGACATCCCTCCTCCGTGCTCCCCTGGGGCGGGGGCCGGCAGGTATCCCACCGCTCCCGGGATGATCCTACGGGCCGGAGCGCAGTTCTCAGGACACACGATCTTGCCCCGTCCCCCGGCGAGGGGACACCTCTGCCTGCTGTCACCGTGCGGGCATCCCCCCCGTGYTGTCATAACATCCCCATGGCAACTGCGGCAATTACTTCTATGCCCGAACAACAATAGGAAAGTATTTAATATATTTAAATGTGATTAAGCAGGTGGAAGAAACGAGGAGGAGCCGCTCCGCAGGACGAGCCGAGGCTTCCCCGGAGCCCCGGGGGCTGCAGCTCGCCCAGGAGCTCAACAGATGGAAGCGAGCGARGGATTCTCGGTTACAACGGGAGAGGAATGGAGGGTTTTACCATTTTCTGCTGCTTTTAGCACCAATTGAGGCACGTGAAAATTAATTCCGTTTTTCATCTCTCGGATTTCGATAGAAATACTAACATACTGTTGCAAAAGAGTATTTTTCCCTTGTTACCCTTCCTTTCTAGTTTCCCCTTTATTTTTCTCTAACTTTTTATTAGGGAAAAAAAACCAAACCCAAACCACGAAACCGTTGTAAGCCATAAGTTCGGAAAATAAAAGGCACAAATCCCACCCCTGAAAGTGCACAAAGCTGGTTTGTATTTCACATCCAAAATGAGCTTATTAAAAAAGAAAAAAAGAACACCCAGTGAAGAGAAAAAAAAAAAAGAAAAAGATAGATTTAATTCTAGCACATGTTTTAACCTGAAAATCATTCCTTTTCAGTCACTACCTCTTATTTCTATGTTATTAGGGAATTAATAACCAACGGAAGGGATGCTCCTGACCCAGGGAGCCGCGCGTGTTGCTGGAGCAGCGGATGATGCTCAGCGAGAGCTGTTCCTGCCTTTCCAGGAGCAGCCAGGGCTCGGCCAGCAGAGCCCCGGGCAGCCCACCTTGGCCTTGGRTTCACCGTCAAATGGATGGATTGGGTGGGAATTACGGAGTGCGGCGGGAAGGGAGGGCGCGGTGCTGGCACRGGGGAGGTGCTGTTAATGAGAGGGACCTGCCCTGGGGCAGGAAGAGGTTAAAGGGTGTTGGGATGAGCTCGTTCACCCCGGCTGACAGCGGTGGGAGCTGGAAWAGCTGGAGAAGGTGTACTGGCAAGAAATTCTGGTGCTGGATAATGCCTAAAGGTAAAAAAGGGCGGAGAGGAGGGAAGRGGTGAATTCCAGGACAGAAGCATAGGGTGAGGAGGTGGAGGGGTCTCAGGCTCACAAGAACTAAGGGAGAACTGGGATGCAGTATTAAGAGCTGTGGAAATATTTAGGACTCGCTAAAACAAGATCTTGGTGTCTGTGCTACAAGACTAAGATGAAAGTGTRTCACTTGCTGTGTGTTATCTAATATATTAATAATAATAATAATAAATATAAWGTGTATATATGTGTGCCATTCCTGAGGGAGCCTTTAAGGCTTGGYTAAACCCTGCACAGGCTGAGTATGGTGGTCCTACATGGTGGGATTTACATTTTCAGGGAAATGCTGAAAAACTCCTAATTTCAGATCAGTATTATGAGGTGCTGTACAGATGTCAGAAGGCCCAATCACAGGAACTCTCTGACCTGGCCAAGGCGTGAGCAAGTGCAGAATGGTGATGGGGGTTTTTTACAGCCACTCATTGATTGTTGAACATCGAGAGGGGTGGAAATGCTGAAAGACCAGACTGTTACTGATAGTCTGAGCTGGAACTGGGTGCTTGGCAAACACTTCTAACCATTATAAAGTCTGCTCTGAGGCCTGTTCTATCCAAATGCTGGCAAAAGAACAGGTTTCTCCTCACTCCAGGTGTGAATTTGGCAGATGTGGACACGGGCATGAYGAGACACCTGCCTGGGGGATAATTCTGTTTGGAATGCTGTTTTGTGCAGTGTTGGATTTACCTGTATGTGGGAGCTG